ATATATATATATATATATATATATATATATATATATATATATATATACTGTATATATATATACACATATATGCACAAAGGCGAGGCACATTGTTGGAATAGCTTGTGTTTGCTGAAGCATTAAAATTTGTCCTGAAGCTGTGCAGGACTGAAAACAGCTGTGACACAAACGGGCCGTATTCTAAAGAAGGACCTGGACATGAAGAATATACACCACCTCAGCAACAACACAGGAAACTACAAACCAATAATCTCACACAAAGACACAAGGAACTGGTGAAAGATGGCTGTGTGAACCAATCAGGACTGCAGCTTTTTACTTGTACTTACTATAGGCAGCAGTAGAGTGCTCAGGAATGAGTGCTAAAACCCACTTTCTACCAATTCTGGTTCCCTCGTCTGGAAGTCAATGGGTTTTATGAATGGCTTTCTACTTAGAATCATGAAATAAGGTTTGTTCTACAACATTAAATACGTCAGTAAATACCCCTCTGAGGCAGAACTCTAGGCTTTCTACGTGGTTGCTAATATGTGGCTAAATGAGACTGAACACTAGTCCGCCTTTAGCTCCGTGGTGGTGACGTGAAGTCATACTGCGTTTTACGCTTCAAACCATAAAAGGGGAGTTCGTTTGTGAAGGTTATCTTGATGAACAAAATGTGGAAGTATCATAAACTTTTGTTTTATACAGAGATTATGTTCTGTGCAACTCCGTGCAATGCTAAGTTTTGTGTAGGCCAAAAGAAAATACCTCATCCTTCAGTACTCTGCAGTACTTATGAATAATGAATGGCCTCACCAACCATCTCTGGGTTGAACTCAGTTTTGTGGTGCCTCATTGTAAACCCAGGTATGGATCCCCATGGTAACATGTCACCAGCATCGTCATTCCTAAATAGTTGTGACAGGGTAGTGCTGTGATGATTAATGGAGAGCATTCCATACATCTTTATGGATCCTGAGCATCACTTTGTCCACTCTGGGTTTCCAATGACCTGTACCTTCCCTTTAGCTTCGGCAGCATTAACAGTCCTTCTTTACCTTTAACTACTATCATTTATTAATGAGTTGGTTCATCATGAGATAAAAGACACAAATGGCAACATTTCATTTATTTTCCTCCTCACTGTAGACTTATGGGTGTGTCAAAACTGCCAACTGTATTTAAAGCACTGTATAACATAATTCCAACACTTACTTTTAACATTTGAATATTATTCCTAATGTTTGGACACCTTATTATCCTTTGATTGTCTGATTATATTGTATTTTACCTCGCCGAATATCATACTTTGTGCTTGCAATAAGTTTTCACTGTTTCATCTCATGCCTTATTGAGTCCTCCACTCATGGTTCTGTTGAAGATTTAAAGAACATTTTGAGTTGTGCAGGTTGGATACTCACAACTCCAGGACCAGCACCATCTCAGAAGCCATCTCATAGACCTGGTGGAGGTTGACCACCCGAGGGCTGGCTGTGGCCAGCTCCAGCACTGCGATCTCGTGGATGATCTCCATCCGGCAGTCTTGGCCTTTCCGTCTCTTCCTCATGAACTTGGCGGCGTACTCGTGGCCCGAGCATTTCTCCACACACTTTCTGACCACGGCAAACTTGCCCCTGGAAGAGAAGAGGGCCACCAGCACTGTAAGGGATGGACCTGGGACTCCAGCTGTGCAGTAAACACCAGGGCTAGACCTTTACCCTCCTCTGATGGAGCCACCAGAGATTTCTCTTCTCAATTTGGACTGTGGTTGGACAAATGAGTTCCTGTCACCTTAATTATTAGGAAACTACGGTTTGATCCAGACTAAAATGGAACAACAGAAAATCACCTATAAGACATACGGTGAGTCCATGAGAATTTTTCTTTTACTATGGTTTATGCACTCATTTATAAATCCCACAATGCAACGTTCTGTATTTTACAGGCGTGAAAACTCTACACCATGGATGTATGAAGAGAATTGAGATTTGGTGTGTTCAATCATTTCGTGGATGTTGCTGGCACTGTTTCTCTTCTCTCTCTCCTGGCCTGACCCACTTTTATTTCTGGCTGGAAGGTGTTCTCGTGCGACGACCCCGGCGCTGTGCGTGCACATGTGCATGCTGCCCAGGGGAAATCCTCTGAAATGTAGCCGCTGATTGAGATGACAAGCCCACATTGTGACTCCCCCTCTGGCTACTGTTGGCAGCCAATGCTCCAATAATCAGCAGCAGCAGCCTGGCTGAACCGGACCAATCCACAGCCAAGACTCACCAAGAACAGCTTTCCTTCTTCTTTTAAAGGGGTCTGGGATTAATTGTGTGACCCGATATAAATGTAGGTGGAATATAAAGAGTATTGCAAAAAACAACTATGTCTTAAAAGTTGTCAGAAGCACAAATGTACTTCTGATTGAACTTACTTTTACCAGATGCAGAAAGAGCAGATTTAAGAAACTACATCAGGTATGGATCCACCAAAAGAGAAATAGTGTAACTTACGTTCCAACTAATGTTAGGCTTATTAATGATCAGGGGAGTTTAATGTAGAGCAGCACAGCTGTCTGCTGGATACCAAGCCATTCTCCTGTTCCTGTCGGCCACTGTGTCCCAAATCCTCTACGATATAACACTGATATTAAGCTCACGGACATATCTGAGCAGATATTTAGCCAGCGGGAACTTTCAGACCATTTTACATTTAGTATGATGAGTATCTTTTCTCTCCTTTACACTTTACACTTTGGGCGAGAAAGTGTTAAAATTTTACCCAAGCTGTGAAAATTCACAGGGCGGAAAAGGGCAACTGATAATTGAAAAATACACTTCCAAAATATAGTTGACATGTCATCGTTAATCTAACGTTCGAAATATAGTGGTTTATTTTAATAACCTTTTGGGTTAGATGCCTGAAATGAGGTCCAAGTCTTAAAAGTAAAGTTTTGGCCTAGCACATAAGAGATGTCAGTAAATATCCCACTCATGACATGTGAAGCTTGTACATGTCTTAAACAATCCACTGGAAGCTCCTCAATGCCAGCAGACAGAGAGAGCAGCAGGAGATGGAGAGGTAAACAGTGCCTCAACTGTATCTGAAAAGTTTTATTATTCATATTTTAATAATATCATGTGAACATACAGTGGTGGAAGAACACTACTTGAGTAAAAGTAGATAAATACTACAGTGTAAAAATACCAGTAAAAGTCCAGCATTCAAAACATTACTTAAGCAAAAGTACAAAAGTATTAGCATCAAAGTATACTTAATGTACCAAAAGTAAAAGTACTCATTATTCAGAATTATATATATTATATCACTAGATTATAACCATGGATGCATTAATATGTTAATCCCTTTAATGTTGCAGCTGGTGATGGTGGAGCTCACTATAATCCTGAAAGTATTAGTGTAGTAGAACAGTTTACGTTTTTCAATATTAAGACGTGTACTTTACTGTAAACAAGGTGCCAGAGAGCATCAAAAGCATCCAAACAGAGCTTGTTTATCACATTTAACCCCCAGATACTGAGGCCGTCACAACAGTAATTACAGTTGTGACTAGCTGGCCTGTCTCAGATTGAGAATAATTCACATCATTCTTGCTGAGAGCAGGAAGAGAAGCCAGGATGACTAGGACTGTGTGGGTCCACTAGGACTGTGTGGGTGCATTAGGACTGTGTGGGTCCACTAGGACTGTGTGGGTGCATTAGGACTGTGTGGGTCCACTAGGACTGTGTGGGTGTGCAGCATGACCAGCAGCTGTGTCCTGGAGCTCTGGACCGGCTGCTTCATCCTCAGCTGGCCTCATGTGACAGTCATGGGGCTGCTGCAGCTGGGAGCTACACATTCAAACATTTAGACAGGTTTTCTAATGAGAGCGGATTTCTCCTTCTGCAAAATGAATTTGAATGCGTGCATTGCAATGACTACAGTCTTTGAGCTGGACCAGAGCCATGGTGGAGAGAAAAGGAATACTCCAAAGAATGGTGCTAATAAACCTTTTTGATTTCTTTATTCTTTTTGACACAGTGACCCGGCCTGTACCGTGTGGGGACGTGACGTAAAGTTCACCTCGCCTGTATCTTCTCTTCTACTACCCGACAATTCATCAGGAAACGATGAGAGGAATCCATGATGATGATATCGTATCACTTCCCATCTCTAGCAATATCAGTCATGTAAGATAACTTCCAAAAACATGACTCGACACATTAAACTCAACTCTCACAGCTTTGTAAATGTAGGTATGACATTTATGACAATTATTTGCACAGTGTAGAACTATATCAAACCATAATATGAAATATGTATCCTCATTTGCCTTGTCAGTCCAATCAGATCAAGAGAAGGTTTCTGGATTCAGACTGTTTGGGACAGCAGATCAAGTTTCTGGAATATACCTTTTTGAATTAGGTGACATTCCACCAATGATGGTAAAAGTGGAGAGGACCTCTCACAGATACTGACTGGTGACTATAGTGAGGAAAGAGAAGAGAGATGGCTGCAGGCCACAGTTTGATCTGTGCGTGCCTGCATCGATCGTACACACATACAACACACTGACTGTATAACTAAATAATCTCTTGTAAATAGATTTTTCCATTCGACATTTTCCCACAAATCAATGTGTCTGCTGATGTGCCGGGACAGCCAGTAGAACATGTACTGAAGCCAGTCTGATCCGTCGTGCTGAGGCGGATAGAGCGGTCTTTCTTTCACAAGTCCTCTAACGGGTTTTAATGTTCCACTTGTCATAGTTCAGCATCCTTCTCCAGGTCACCTGACAGCAGTGTGTGTGGGTGTGGCCATGTTTTGGTTTGGGGGGTCTGGGCCTGCTCTTTAGAAACCATACTGAGCCACCACAGCCTGTTCTAAAGCAGCCTCAGCACATTTCCAAAGCCAGCCGCCACATTCACAGACTACACCCTGAAAGAGACGGCTGTGTGTGTGGAGAAGTGCTTTAATGGATGCGGTGGTTGTCCCAGCCTGAGGCCAAGCCGTACAGTGCTCTGTGTGCACTAGCACACTAACAAGTACATGTAGAGAGCTGCTGCAGGTTGCACCAGCTGCTCCACATGAAAGACAAGATGTATGCATCAACCATTTCATCGCCACACAAACTACTACTGCTTTAAAACTGAAAATATTCCTGTGCAAATATTATATGTCCAGGGCTTTTATTGTGAAAGGCTTGAAGGAGTGGACGTGGTCTGCGCTGCTTTGTCAACATTTATAAGGGTAATACAGTTTGTTGTCTTGGTTTCTGACTACGGAGCCTTCATGCTGTCGTTTCACAAACATAGGCGCAACTCGACCCGTTCCGCACGACGTGATTGGTTGATTCCTCGGCATATCATTTGCGTTCTGTGTATCCACGACAAAAATGTACTGGCGACTTAATCGCATGAAAAAAGAAGAAAGAAAGCCGCCCCTGGTGTGTACCGGCCTTTATTACTCAGGTGAAGTGATTTGAGAAACGTAATCCTGCTTAGATATCGTTGCACAGGTTCAAACTCTGTTCTATCAGGTTTTATGTTCCCATAAGGAGAGAGCGCCTGGAGAAAAGGTGCTGATCCAGGGTCTGTTTCTGAGCACTGCACTTGTTTTGTGCGCCCGCTCCGAGGTTGCTGTCAGCGATATGATGATTGTGATGTAGTCAAATGCGTTTGAAGTCATATTATGGTATAACTGATATACTATGGTTGGAACAATGAAGCTGTTCCTTGTCTTCATCTTTGATGGACAATCTGAGTGTCCCATGCTCTAGAAATGTGTTTCCAACCACAACAGCGTATGAGCCATCAGTGGTCTCAGTGAAACAGACCCCACACGGTCTGCAGTCTCATAGCTGGGCATTTAATGAAATAAAGATTTCAAGTCGCACGGGGCCAAATCTACAGATTCCCCATGTGCTGTGCTGACAGTGGGCATCCTCCTGAGGTCAGGGACGATGACACACTGTAGGCTGGATGAACCCAAGGAGCTGATCAACATGGTGGCTTCTACAAGGAGAGGCCACCATATACTGCAGGTCTGCACCAGGCTGAGTGAAGCTGATGTGGAAGTGTCCTAAAACTTAAAACAAAGTCTATGAAAAAATGACTCTACTTCTCTCTTGATTTATTACCTCAGTAAACATTGTAAACATGAGTTTATGGTCTCAATCTCTAGTTTCAAGTCTTCTTCAATACAGCATGATGTTCATTTAGTACATTATGGTCCATTTAGAGTCAAACAGACCATAAAGCAGAGTATGCTTTAGGGCGGGGCTACTGTGATTGGCAGGTCGCTGCAGCTACCAGAGCCGTATACGGAGTCTCTACGTCACTCCTCTGCATTCCAAATATGGTAACTTCTGTTCATCGGTGGCAAAAAACAACAACATGGCGACGGCTGTAATCCAAGATGGCGACGAAGAAATCTCTGAACTCAAGGCTTCAAAACATCAGTCCACAAACCAATGAGTGACGTCACCATGACTACGCCCACTTCTTATACAGTCTATCACTGCCTACAGTGTACAACAACATATATACAGTGAGACTATACAGCTACTCAAGGAGAACATGTTTGAGACACAGCTGGATGACATCAGTATATCCATATATAAATATCGTGGTACCAGAGTAGATAT